AACATAACGTGTGAATGCATTCGTCGATGAGCTCCAGCTTGAACTCTGATTCATCCATCCTAAGCAGGAATAATCCACTACCATTACTCTCACATCGAATCACAGTACAGTACGCACCGTAGTAGAGACCGAAAATACGTGTACAGAGGTAACTTTTTCCACAAAACGACTTGGAAACTAAAATTTCGAATATAAGGCCCTCTTATATGGCTGTATTGCATGCAATCGATTTCGTTGTTATCCTCAGTGCTGTTCACATCTCTCAAGTAGATGTGAACAGCAATGACAGAAACCCTACTTGGCCTCGTTACTCTCTAATAGAGAGTCTATCATCCTCAGACGCTGGGCACACGTCCCCATCACCACGTCGAGGATGGTAGCAACAACGTCATGCACTTATCTATGTTGTCAATTCAGTACTCAAATCTTTTAAAGTTGCAACTCGAAATTTCCGCAAAAAAATCTTTTTTTATTTATGATCGCAACATTTTTGCGATTCTTAGCGATCGCGCATCACTCCTCAATGTTTGCACATGAGCTCACTTGTGGCTTACTTGTATTTTGTGTTGTCATCTTCCACGGCTTCATAACTCGACATATTTCTCATAACTCCAAGCTACTATCAATACAGTATTTGCTCACTCCCACACTAACACAAGCCTTTTCTGTGTACTCATAGTAAAGCTTCATTCATATCAGCATGCACTGTATGATCATGATGCCCAGTGTCTACACAGTGAGAGGAGAGGTAGAATCGCTGAGTACCTACACAACGACAAACACGAGAGCGATTAACCGCAGAGTGGCCGACCTCAAGCCTTTCAACCACAAAGGTAGATCAACAAGTGGACGGGCCTTGTAGAGGGCTAGATAGAGGGCCAGCCATAGCAGTGTGACGGAGAAGAAAGCGGCCTGAACTGACCAGGATACAACAATTGTGTTAAACACGTTACTGACCCAAGCGATAAAGTCTCCTCTCGGTGGCGCGGTACGATGTGTGAAGAATGGATGGGTTGCCTTGCCGTATCGAAGGCAAACGATGGACTCCAGTACTGTGACGCAACTCAATAGCCACACGTTGTGACCTGAGCATCGAGTAATAGAAGGTCACCCTTCATCAGTGTGTGGGGGGATATGTACAGGGTCAACTACATTTGTTGGTGGCAATAGATAAATTCTGAGGAAATTTCAGGAGCTTATTCTCGATTTCTGTACATTTCTGCGCGAATTCGTGAGCAAACCCCTGAGCTCAACTGAGGAAAGCCAACATACACTCCAACACTGCCCTCCACCGTCACCAATTCGTCGAGTGTGGCCTTTGATATACTCATACCACTCAGGGACTGCCTGCGCACCGTGAAGGGCCAGGACCAACTGCCGAACTGGGGAGAAGATGTGTGATGGTCTCAATGCAAAAGCGTGGATTAGGAAGAACGAGTTGATCTCCAGCACAAAGCACTGAGTAAGAAGGGCAAGTTCAATTAACCATAGAGTGAGGCTCTACCTGCAACCAGGCGATCTGGGAGAGGACCCAATGAGAGGCATCCAGAGGCCAGTCGTAACGGCTCCACGAATATGGAGTGAACTGTAGCATGACGCGCTTGAACTTGCGACCTGTCCACGACTCAACGACGCAGTATCAGAATATATGTTTGCTTTTCTCAGCTGAGCTCAAAAGTTTATATTGTAAACTCCTACTTTCCGAATTCGTATGCAAACTTCACATACGAATTCGAGGAGAACTGTACAGAAACCGGCAAGAATTCGCGCGAAAATTTCATGTTGTCACCAACACATGTAGTTGACCGTGTGCATATTTCCCCACACTGCAACAACCCGAGATGCATCGAGAGCTCACCCAGTTGTCTGCCATGTTTTGGGGAGTTCTCCGGGTCGTGAAGATTCCAAACATAAGCTCGGCATTCCAGATGATACAACGTAAGACGGCCGAGGCACATCCCTATGAAGTTGGCCCCGAAGACGTCCATCAGTAGGGAGTCCCACCAACACTCTTGGAACTCGGGGACGAGCCACACCAGCCCTAGCTCGGCAAACTCGAAAGCGAATGAATATGTCCAACACATCTGAAAACACTTGGACGCTTCGTTCAAGTGAAGCACTCACGTGCCAGTCGCGGAAGATGCACATCTTGGCCCAATACCCAACAACATGAGCAGCAAACCATATGCTACTCATACTCCTGATAACGTGCCCCACCGTCAGACCACACTGGAGGTGATCGAAGGAAAGGAGACTGTCGTGACCTGAGAGCATCGTCGCTCAAGACTCGGCCAAGGGTTGCATTGCACACACTGGCAGGCTCGACATCAATGATGTTGGTCAGTACAGCCTGGGGTCCACCATGGAGCTCAGGGAATAGCATGTGGACCGCTTGAATGCCGAGGCGGGGAGGGACAACTAAAGCAGACTATGCAGGGTGGTGACAGTAGAGCCAGTGTCACCAAGCAGGCTGACCAGGATGATCATATAGACCAATACAATGCCATGAATGGCTCGCCATACAGCTGGATGGGGGCGGACCATTAACCCATCGCGAGTTTGTAGTACACTGTAGCTAACAAAGGAGAGCATCACGAGAGTCACGGACTTACCATGATGAACACTCACATCATAACAGTCAAGAACACCATTGCCACCGCCGCTCTTGCCGAGTCCGTTGCGTTGAAGGTGTTGAGCGAGGAGCGGTAGGAGACGTAGACAACGATGGAGACCAATAACACAGCGAACATAACCTAGTGCTCCTTGAAATCAGCGAATACGACTTCAATCACCAACCTGTCGTGGGCGTTCGATGAACTCCAAATTGCTCCTAAATGTGTCCGCTGAGTTCCGAACCAACATTTCATATCTGACACTTGGAACATGCAGTTGTGGTTAACACCAACAACAACAATAATAACAATAACAACAATAACAATAACAATAACAATAACAATACCAACAACAATAACAATAACAACAACAATAACAATAATAACAACAATAACAACAACAACAACCACAACAATAATCACAACAACAGTAAAAACAACCACAACAACCACAATAACCACAACGACAACAACAACAGCAACAACAACAACAACAACAACAACAACAACAACAACAACAACAACAACTTGCCTGGATTTCCCATCAGGAGAGTCTGGCACAGCCCGTGGACTCACCGGCATCTTCTCAAGTACCGCGCCTACACAACAGCTAAACACACTGAGTCGCTAAGCTGTTACCCATACTCTCAACACTGGTCTGCAGTGGCGTGTACGGCACAGCTCCTTCGAATTCTCTCCCAACGTGGCTCACATCACCCGAGCTGCTGGGATAAGCCATGGCTGTCATTCGACGCAAAATCATTAATGCAGTTGTTACTTGGTCGCTGAAAGCTTTCTGTCCGCTGTCCCTGCACGTCTCCTCCTCATAACGTCGCGCATGGTTCGAGATGATGAGACCAGGAGCGCGGAGGTTCAACTGAGAGCAGTCCCCTATAGAGATGTGGTTGTTAATGCTCCTTAGTCGTCAACCAACGAGAAATACGATTTCTGGAAAAGTTGGTCATAATTTGTTGTTATCATCGGTGTCAGTGGTTCTGGCACACTACAGCTGTGGCCCCTTCTCACTGGAAGAGCGGACCGGACCGAAGGTGAACACCTAGTATGGCGAATATACTTTAAGACTAGTACACTAATAATAATGTGTTATCTGTATATATTAATACCACAGATGTATATTTTTCCAGTCGCGATGTAACACATCTAGTATTTAGTAACAGATGCTTGTAGATATTATTATGTAATGATAATAGCAATGGTCACTGTTAATGAAGTTAACACTAAACACTGATAATACAGCCGTACGACCATGAAAGCATACGAGCAGACAGCAAAAACCTGATGAATAACGCAACGCTGCAACATGTTCGACGGGTACATCAGAGTACCAACAAGCTTCATGATAGTGCAGATCAGAGAGCTACTGGCTACACCCAGACTGACAATCCATATAAGTCATACACATTCGAAGAAGACATATCCAACGCTGTCTCTCGATAGTGCCTGACAATCTATAACGTCATTAAAATGATGAGCCACGACCTACCACGACGATTGATCGTAGACTGCGTCGCTCGGTCCAATAATTTCACGACGTTAACAAAGTATCTAATGCGTTTCAATGGTCTTGTTCTTTCAACCATCATACCGTTTATCCGCCTCTTCTCCTTCCGAGACATTCCGTGAAGCCTAAGATATGGCATCCGTGAGAGCGTACACACCAACACAGTGTCACCCCATCAGGGCTTGTTGGTTTCGTAGTGGTGCGATCTCCACCAGCAATGATGAAGGCCTCGAGCCTAGCCAGACGGTGTTCTTCCCAGAGGCCAATTTCACTCCTCACATGTGCGAGCAGTTCATAATACGAATCGTTTCTAGGCTGAAATAGTGAGAATAGAGCAGCTGCGCACTGCGCGTGCTCACCACGAAGAGTTGTCGGTAAATCGAAATGTCTTTCGGCAGTTCCTCAAGATAGAACAATGCAGGGAGTATTCGAAAGAGATATCTGTCTTCTGCTGACGGACTCAGGGACTGAACACGAATTTCGGATTTCGTTGTCCACTATCGTCTCCTTGCAAGAGCTCGTATGACATGCCAGATGATGCCCACTAGGGATTGACGTCAGTGAGATGACGTTACATGGCACGGCCTGCGATGCGCCTCATGCGTATCTTCAGATTGCGATGTTTTGAAGCTTTGATGCTCAGTGTGCCCTAAGAATATACAAAGAGCAGTGTGCTGAGGCTAGTCACCCCTACTGCTGCCGGGACGCCGTCGTTGCGGTTTTGTCATGCCCTCGTGTACGAACTTAGCCATCTAGATTGATATCATCTCAAAGCTCGGAAGAGTGAGAATTCCAACCTACATCCACTGCGCCCGTTTTCTCTATGGCCCTAACAAGTGCACGTCGCAACGTTTCCTTATCAAATGGATCTTTGCATTTTCTCGATAAAAATGAAGTCACCATCGACCAACTGAATTAACAAGGCCGAATGGAAGCCGCCGGGTTCGTCATGGACCACCCGTGATCATCCTTTCCGTAAGCATCAATGCTGCACAATTATAGCTGATGCCGAACTCAAGAATGCACCAACAGAGCCTCTCGTTATGGAGCACAGATGGATGAATACGTTCCTCATCACGCAACTCCTAGCTCGAAAATGTGTGTACGACCAATGAGCTCAGTAACGTTGCCGATGATAGCACTTCCTTTCCTACGTCAGTCTTAGCATTCCATTGAAAGGAGCGTACAAGTTCTATCTTTAAATCCTCGTAAGCACTGAGCAGCATAGCCGCTATTCGACAAAAATGATGCACCTTGCACGCGAAATCGCCATCGCTGTCAACCACAACGTGCAGCGCCTTCCGGGTCTACCGCATCGGAAGGCATACTATCGGAAAACTGTAGGACAATCTCGTTGGGAACCTCCTGCATGCATCGGGCCTGCGGATGTTCGTGGATTCTGTATGATGCAGTCCATACGACTTACAGTGTCCAGGACAGCAACCTCAAAGTTCTTCGGCGTGTGATCGACACATGCTAGTCTCCGTTGTTCGAGCAATACATCAAGACGTGATTGGGAGTACCTCCACGCAGGGTATCCAATGCTAGCCTATCATCCGACACAATTTCATGATTATCTTTGCGTGTGTTTCAGTTCTGTTCAGCTTAGTTGTGATGCGTTGCATCTCAGTTGTATACGATGTTATAGACTTAGCTGTATTGCGTTGTACCTCAGTTGAATAAGCTGTTATCGGCTTAGTTGTATTGCGTTGGATCTCAGTTGTATATGCTGTTATTGGCTTAGTTGTATACGCTGTTATCGGCTTAGTTGTATTGCGTTGTATCTCAATTGTATACGCTGTTATCGGCTTAGTTGTATCGCGTTGCATCTCAGTTGTATACGATGTTATAGACTTAGCTGTATTGCGTTGTACCTCAGTTGAATAAGCTGTTATCGGCTTAGTTGTATTGCGTTGGATCTCAGTTGTATATGCTGTTATTGGCTTAGTTGTATACGCTGTTATCGGCTTAGTTGTATTGCGTTGTATCTCAGTTGTATACGCTGTTATCGGCTTAGTTGTATTGCGTTGTATCTCAGTTGAATAAGCTGTTATTGGCTTAGTTGTATTGCGTTGTATCTCAGTTGAATAAGCTGTTATTGGCTTAGTTGTATTGCGTTGTATCTCAGTTGAATAAGCTGTTATTGGCTTAGTTGTATTGCGTTGTATCTCAGTTGAATAAGCTGTTATTGGCTTAGTTGTATTGCGTTGTATCTCAGTTGAATAAGCTGTTATTGGCTTAGTTGTATTGCGTTGTATCTCAGTTGAATAAGCTGTTATCGACTTAGTTGTATTGCGTTGTATTTCAGTTGAATAAGCTGTTATCGGCTTAGTTGTATTGCGTTGTATCTCAGTTGCATATGCTGTTATCGGCTTAGTTGTATTCGAATCATCTCAAGTGCTTCTATCACAACATACAAAGCAAACCAGTAGGCGCTAGCATTGAGAGCTTACTCTATGACCGCTAGTTCTGTGAGAGTTCCTTGATTCGTGAGGATACGTTCTAGCCCATCAACAGTGAGGAAGTGTATTTTCTCGACGCCTTGTAGGAAGCTAGCCTCCCTAAGGCGTCGGAATGGGTTCCCTCTATCTAACACAATACAAGAGAGCTCTCTCGAGCTCACATGCCATACACTCACAAGAATTCGCGGAGTTCTCTTCCTCGGCGCTCTCCTGCATCATCTTGGCAAGAGCATCGAGACGATTAGCCATGGTTGATGTGACTTCGCCAACCTAATCAAAACTCCATATAAAACTCCACGCTCATTCACACCTTTTCCACGAAAGGTCTTTCGAACTTCTCATAAGCATGGCTGAGCAAAGCGAGCAGGCAAGCGAGATCCTCCAACGTCCGCTTCCATGGTGAGCCAAAAGCCTAACGATCTTCCACGACCAACCCATAGACCGTCAGATCGATACCCGATGATCGCTAGTCCGAGGTGTCCCTGTCACTTTATCAGCGACCTCTGAAATTGACAAGTTGCCACCTATGGGAACAAATGCTCACTCTGTAAACCGCCCTGTTCTTCACTGCTGTCATCCTCATCATCGCCGTCGGAATTCTATTGCGATTATCTCAGCCATTCACGACTCCAAAGAGAGGAGCTTTACTTACCATAACGGATACACTCACGAGTTCATTTCGAATTCGAGGGATCGAGTGCAGCAATGTCTGTTTGAAAAAAGACATCAGTCGCTCGCCTGAAGCACCTGATCGTGAGGTAAGTGCTATGATCAACTACGCGAGACGACTCACAAATGTCCTCGCCCACATCGATACGTTTGCTTCATGCACCCAACAGGTGAGCCCACCAGGCAGACGCTCTCGACAACAGCATCCACACATAAGGAGGCCGAACATGGTCGCCAGGGAGAAGCTCGGGAATTGTTCATCTACTGCAGAACCTGGGGGAGCAGACCGACTGCTCAATCACAGTGTAGGAAAATATGCACATGGTCATCTACATGTGTTGGTGACTAATTTTGGGGAATTCTCACTGGTTAAAATGTCATGTTCTGTACATTTCTACCCGAGTGCTTATATGAACTTCTATAACTAGTGAGAGACTCCTGAGCTCAGCTGAGGAAAACCAAACATATATTCCAACACTGTCAATTACGGTGGCAAGCTTCTGAACCACCATAGAGAAAAAATCCAGCAGTGCTCTGTTTGTCGTATAGGTGGGAAAGCCATCGCGGCGATATGGCTCGCATAGGGTTAATTTCCTTGTGATACTCTCGATCATCCTTTGAGAAATTCACTCTTAGATGGGACCACACTATCTCTATAGTTGATCGCTTTATACTCACCTGAGCCGCCCGTGGACTGAGCTAGATGCATGTTGCTGAGCTCCTCCTGGCCCTGCTCGATCGTTGTTCTCGAGGCACCCTATACTCAAAGCATTCGCTGACCAAAACCACACTCACTGTGAAATTGCTCACCAGTGGCGCTGAAGAAGTGGTGGCGTTATGATGCTGTTCGACTAGTATATATATGAGCTTCCGCATAGATTCCACATCGTCTACTCGCTCAGTGGATCTGCTATACAGATAGTGTCACTAAAATCTTCCTCTCAGATCAGATCACTCTCACCGTGCAGTAGCGGTGACGTCCAACAGCTGACACAACTCTTTCAAATGGTTGAGAACCCCGAGAAGGTGTTGAGGGAACTCTATAGCATACTCCCGGAAGATCTCATGAGCATCACAGCACTCTAGTGGGGATGGTATTTTCTCCTCTAGAGTTTCACATGTGTGCTGAAAAGTCAACATGCCTGGCCACATGCAGTAGACACGGACTTGGGCGAGTACATATACTTCTGTAGCATGAGTGACCTCATTTAACCCTCTAGCATTCAGTGTGGTAAAATATGCACATGGTCAACTGCATGTTATGTTGGTGACAATATGAAAATTCTGTGGATTTTTGGGAAATTCCTGTTGGTTTATTCATGACCTCCTACGAATAGTGGGAAACTCCTGAGCCTAGCTGAGGAGAGCGAACGTATCATTCGTGTTTGCAATACCGTAGAGTCCCGTATCAATTCTCACCATTCGGCTTGCAGCAAGACTTGGTCGTCGTGATCTCCCCAGAAACAGTAACTGCGTTTGTCTCATTACATAAGTGCCTATCACGACCCCGGTTCATGAAGCCTACCCCTTTCGGAAGGGCCTTCAGTGAAGTGGTGTCGTCACATATCGAGTTCAAGATTTCAACGATTTGTGGTATGAGTTCCGTCCTGAATATTAGCCTGTAAGTATAGCGGCGAATACAAGCAAACCGATGAGATGATTGAGTAAACGTAGGTGAGCCGAACTTTCGGCACAAGGCGAATGAAGCTGCACACTTAATTCGTCATCGCTTCTCGAAAAGCCTCACGTTGGAATCTTATGTTCGGTCTCCTTCCGTGTGATGGTAGTTTTAGCCGTGCCTGGTCGCTGTCTTTCTCGAGGCGCTGAGGAGGGCGAAGCGTAGGAACGAGATTCTACTCGTTGCTTGTCGCTTAGCATTATATTCGAATGACTCTTGACCAGGTGTGTGAGAGAACGACAATTTCATCAACCGTTGAGCCTTTCGACACCACAGATCCCGTTGACACGGACTTATAACACACTAGCCAGAGCGTCACTTTTTGGAAGAATAGAATGAATACAACAGCAGCAGAGCAGCGTCCTAGTAGCCATAGCTAGCAACATGGACAGTTTCCACAGCACACAATTATCGGACGATTGAGTAATCAGATTGACACGCCACACGTACACTAGGAAAGGCGTATAGCTCGAACCGTCTTCTATTAAGGCGTTGCATGTGTATCGTTCTAAGTGTGATCAACGTCGTGTTTCTGACATAATGAGTGATGACAGTCTGTCATCACTCATTATGATGGGATTATGCCTATGATGGGAATTCTGTCATTGACAGAATTCCCTGTTCATCTTCATTTTCAAATACGACAAGGTCGAACTGTAACTGGGACAGTTGATTGTGAGTGTGATGACAAACAACACACCAGGAAGAGCTGTCACATTCGTGGCAGTCGTTAGTTGTATGAAGTGATGCAACGCAACACTTGGGATGTATGAGCGAGTACAGTCGACGAGCAGTCGTGGGTGTTGGGAATAGCGTCGTAGTGTGTTGTGTTGGACACCAAGTATGAGAGGGAAGAAGGGTCGATGAAGCACCCGGGATGACGACCAGACAATGTTTACCAGGAGTTCGCGCCATCTTGTGCATAAGAGAAGATTAACTGTTAGTGGAGATGCTCAACGAATTGAGCAATCGGGCTTCAGCCGGGTATTCTGGCGCATCCTTGGCTGACCACTTTGTTCCACTGAGATTCGGATGCTTACAACTATGGCACTTGCTC